TATTAAAGCTTTTAAGGCTATTAAATTCTATTATTAGGTATTATATTAAATATAAATACTTAATAATTTTTTTAATATTTGGTTAATTCGCTTTATAATTAAATAAAATTATATATATAATACTAGTATTATATAAACGTAAAATCTAAAATAATATTAGGCTATACTAGGCTAAAAATAATAAAAAACTAGAAAAGTAAACTATTTATATATTATAATATATTAAATATATTAGCGTAATTAGTATTATATTATAGCTTACTAGTTATAGCTACTTTATAATAGCCTTAGCTATTATTATATAGTTAAACCTTATATATTATTATATAAACCTACTAACTTTATAGCTATAACTTACACTAAGTTATACTAAAAACCTAAAATACCTATATACGCAGTATATCTGTAAGGTCTCTCCCGCATTCCGAGTTGATCTCTTCTGTAATAACAATATAAGCTCTAAAAATGCTAAGAAGCCTAATATAAGTAAATTGCCTATTATAACCTTTAGGGGTTAAAAGCTAATAAAGCTTAAAGGGTAATATAACTAATACTAGATTAAAAGCTTTTTATAATAAAAGAAATAGCTATTATAAAGCTAAAAATCCTAATCTAATAAAAATTAAGAAAAATAATAAGGCTATTAAGGACGTGGAAAAGAAGGCCTCTAGAAACGCGAAGCTAAAGCGCAGCTCCGAAAAGGCTGTTATACTGGCTATAAAATACTTAATAATTTAATTAATAATTTATTACTAAATTTCTAATAAATTAAAAAGAAATTTAGCTAATTTAGCTATTATTTTAGCTATATTTAGTTTTTTAATAATTATAATATAACTAATAAAGCTAATAATTTATTAATATTAATAAATTTAATTAGTAATTATATTACCTAAATTAAATTATAATTAATTTCTAGGTATTAGATTTTTTTAAAGCTATTTTACTTAAATATATTAAATTTTATAGCTAATTTTTTAATATATAAATTCTAATATAATTAAAGCTTTTTAATAAGCTTATTTTAAAGGACTTAAATATTTAGGAACTAATATAGCTAGCTAAGATTTTTTATATTATAAGTAAATTTAATAATTAATTAGCTATTTTTATAACTACTTAATAATATAAAAAAATAATATTATTATTATAAAAAAAAGCTATTAAAATTAAACTATTAAAAATATAAAGGTTTTTTAAATAAAACTTTAAGCTTAGCTACTTAAAAGTTTAATTAAGGGTTTATTATTATAATAAAAGTAATTTTTATAATTTATATAAAGCTTATAATAGCTTTATTATTTAATTAGGCCTTTTAAATTTTTTAAGAAATTTAATATAAATTTTTTTATTAATTAAGCTATTTATAAAAGTATTAATAATATTAAGCTACCTAGCTTTTATATTAAATTTAGCTATAATAGCTATAAAAATTTAAAATAATTTTTTAGCTAAAATTATAATATAAATCTTTGTATTATTAGATAATTAAAGGTTATTTTATATATATAAATATAAGGGACTAGCTATACTTACAGCTATATATATATATTACTAAATAATAAAAATAAACTTAAAAAAAAAAATAAAAAAAAGGTTTTATTTTTTTTTTTTAATATATTTTATTTTAGCTTAAAGTTTATTTATATTAGGTTTAATTTAATTTTACTTAAGGTTTTACTTAAACCTAAAAGTTTTTATTAGCCTAGAGTTTATTTATATTAGGTTTAATTTAGCTTTACTTAGAATTTTACCTAGATTTAAGCTTTTAGCTTAAGTTTATAATATACTTTCTTATTTACTTATATTATTAGGTAACCTTTTTTACCTAGGCTAAATACGCGTGTGCTTTACCTTTTATTTTTATTTATTTTAGTTTTTTATAAGATATAAAATAACCTTTTAAGAAAAAAAAAAAAAGAAAAAAAAATATTTTATTTTCTTTTTATAACTTTCTTTTTTTTTTATTTATCTTATTATTTTAATTATTTTAATTAGAATTACTTAGTTATTTTTTATTTATACTTTTATTATTACTTATTTAATAATATTTTTTTCTTAAGCTAATTTATTTTTAAATAAATAAAAAAAAATAT